TCCCCATTCACCACATTGTTTCCTACCTTGTCTCTGTTTCCTCTCTCTCCTCGAGTTTTTGGATGTGTTTGTTTTGTTCATAATCTTGGGCCAGGAATGGACAAGTTAGATGCACAGTGTATTAAGTGCATCTTCCTTGGCTATTCCCGAACTCAGAAAGGGTACAAGTGTTATCACCCTAGCTCTCGACGTTCCTTTGTATGTGTTGATGTTACTTTCTTTGAGTCTACTCCATTCTTCTTGGGGTCCGGTGATGTTTCTTCCTCCTCCCCTTCCTCTTCCAGTTGTGGACTCTGTTCCTCTTATTCCCGCAGTGACCAAGTCTTTGCCTCCGGTGCCACCACCTGTTGATCGACCACCAATCCATCACGTGTATACACATCGCCCACATGTACCGGCACCTCCTCCAGCTTCATCATTGTCGACAGATCCGGCAGCTGTTACCACACCAGCCCCAACCCCAGTATTTGATCTTGATCTTCCCATTGCCTTGCGAAAAGGTAAGTGCAGTTGTACCCTTAATCCTATGTCTAGTTATGTTTCACTGACTCACCTTTCCACTTCCCATCGCCAATTTATCTATTTATTATCCTATGTTTGTATACCTAAGGATGTCCAGGAAGCCCTTGCCTCTCCAGGATGGTGTCGTGCAATGGAAGAAGAACTCTCAGCTCTGGCTCATAATCATACATGAGAACTCACCACTCTTCCTCCTGGTAAGCGGGTTGTTGGCTGTAAGTGGGTTTATACGGTTAAGTACTTACCTGATGGTAGTATAGAGCGGCTGAAAGCTAGATTGGTTGCCAATGGGTATTCACAAACCTATGGTATTGATTACATAGAGACTTTCTCCCTGATTGCTAAGATGGGTTCAGTCCGTGTTGTGATTTCTCTTGTTGTGATGTATGATTGGCCCCTCTATCAGCTTGATATCAAGAATGCCCTCTTGCATGGTGATCTGCTCGAGGAGGTCTATATGGAGCAACCACCAAGGTTTATTTCTCAAGGGGAGGATGGTAAGGTGTGCCGGATACTAAAGGCCACTTATGGGCTTAAACAGTCTCCTCGAGCATGGTTTGGCAGATTTAGTGAGATAGTAAAGAAGTTTGGTATGAAACAGTGCTAAGTTGACCATTCCGTCTTCAGTCATGACTCTTAGGCAGGGAAGATCCTATTAGTGGTGTATGTAGATGATAATGTCATTACCTAAAATGATAAAATGGGCATTGACAGGTTGAAGATCTTTCTGTAGGATCATTTTCAAACAAAGGACCTTGGTAAATTGAAGTATTTCTTGGGGATAGAAGTAGCAAGGTCCAAGCATGGTATTAACTTGTGTCAGAGGAAATATGCTCTTGATTTGCTTGAAGAAACAAGTTTGTTAGGTGCTAAACCACCTGAAACTCCTATGGAAACAAACACTAAGTTGAGCAGTGATAAGGGTGCAGTGTTTGAAGACCCTGGCAGATATCGGCGGCTGGTGGGTAAACTGAACTACCTAACCATCACTCGGCTAGACATTTCATTCGCAGTTAGTGTGGTAAGTTAGTTCATGCAGAAACCTCTGGTTCCACATTGGGATGTGGTTATAAGGATTATGAGGTATTTAAAGGGGGCTCCTAGTCATGGTTTGATATACAGAAGTGGTGGAAAACTTGAAATAGAAGGATATACTAATGCTGATTGGGCCAGTTCTATATCTGATAGGAGATCTACCACAGGCTATTGCACTTTTCTTGGGGGTAATCTGGTGACATAGAAAAGCAAGAAGCAGACAGTTGTGGCAAGAAGCAGTGCAGAGGCAGAATATAGAGCTATGGAACATGCTACTTGTGAATTAGTGTGGCTAAGGAACCTTCTACGGGAGATGGGATACACTGTTGATACTCCAATAAAGCTCTACTGTGACAATCAGGCTGCAGTTCACATTTCCTCTAATCTGGTGTTTCATGAGAGGACCAAACACATAGAGGTTGACTGTCACTTTGTTAGAGAGAAGGTGCTGAGTGGAGTGATAGACACTACATATGTCAACACAGGGAACCAGTGGGCAGATTTGTTTACTAAAGGGTTGAGTCGGGGGAGAGTGGACTACATATGTAACAAGCTGGGATTATATGATATATACTCTCCAACTTGAGGGGGAGTGTTAGTGTCGAGTATGTAGGGGTAATTTTGTCTTTGTGCTTGTGTTTAGGTGCTGATGTGTAAGTTTATGTTAGATTTAATGTCCCTAAAGTAGGGGCATATGTGACTTTTCCACATTATTTTAGTAATATAAAATACATCTGGCCGAATGGGAGAGTGAACTTTTTCTCTTATTCGAACCAGAATCTTTTCTCCTTGTTTCTCTTCTGCTCTTCTCCTTTCTCTCTTTCTCTCCTTCTCTCCTTTCTCTCTTCCTTGACTGTTATCAATCTAACAGGCAGACCGAACACTAACACTAATCACCTTTCTTTGTATTTCTTCTTCTTTTTGATTTTTCTCTTTATTCTTCAAAAAAAAATAGAAGAGGCTTAAAGTTCTCCTCTGAATACATTACCCTCTTTGCACTATGTCCTCAACCTCTATTGCAGCCTCCATTAAAGCTCCTTGCAATCTTCCTTCTTTTGTTTTTATCAGCAATGAAGGTTGATTCATTAATTAAAATATATGAGACTAAGTACAAGTTGATGACCCAAATGTCATCCCCAAGAACTACAACCAAAGTTACAAAGAAGCCCAATATAGATGTTGCCTTGCGGCACCTTGTTTAGCTAAATTATCTACTAACCCATTTGCACTCTTCCTAATCCACATTAAATCAGATTTAAATCCTTTGTTAATCTTTCCATTTCCCTGAAGATACGTTTGAGGGTCCATGGGACATGTCTGTTACATCTTGCCCAAGATATAATAACTTTTGAATCCACTTCCACTTCCATCTGTTGAAACAATTGCTTTGCCAACCGGAGCCCCTGTAGTAATGCCAATAACTCTGCCTTTGTTGAATTTGTAATGCCAATTGGCCCTGAATATAGAGCCAATATCTTACATTCCACATTCCTGATTGCTCCCCCTACTCCTACCACTCCTGGGTTGCCAATATAGCTTCCATCAAAATTCAGTTTTACTTTGTTAACCTCTGGCAGTTTCCATTCAGCTCTTAGGATTTCCTTTTCTCTAGAGGACTGTGCTATTTCCTTCCATGCCCTTGGGATGTCAATTACTGAGAAAAGTTGGAAACTGTCTAAGGTTTTTATCCACAATGCAATCTCACTTTTATGTTGTCAATGACCTCTTTTAAAGTTATACTTTTTCCAGCTTTCTTTCCTCCCAAACTCCCTAAGAAATAGCTTCTTTATTAGCCCTCCACATTATTCTCCATCTTTTCTTTTGTTGCCTCAAGAAGTTAGGATTGAAGATGTTTGTCACCTCTTGGGGAGGGACCCACCTGCAGTCAAAGAGAGAACAGAAAAATTCCCAAATATGAAGCACAAAGGAACATGAAATCGATAAATGGTAGAGGGACTCTCCACTATCCCTACAAAGAAAACACATATGAAGAGAGAGGCAAGTGGTAGGCCTCCTTTTCTGCAGCAAGTCACATGTATTCTATCTTACCAAGGAAAAAAGTCCAAGAGAAATCTTAAATTTTTGGTGGGGTAGGCTTGCTCCATATTTCTTTCACCAGGATAACCATCCCTTAGGGTCTAGCAGATGCAAGGTATTTGGAGAAAGAGGAGCAAGAGAAAAGCCCATCTGGGGAAATTACCTAGAACCTAGAACCTTCCAAGTTGGGGTCTAAGTAGACTGTCTGCAGGGTTCCAAGAAGATCAACCAACAAATTGCACTCTCTATCCCTAAGGCCTCTTTTGAAACCAGGGTTCCAATTGATACCTGAATGGGAAACCACACCCAGAAGAAATGGCATAAAGGTCAAGGAATTGATCTTTCAGCTGTGACTACCCTATCCAAAGGTGGATTCTATCCCCTTTTCCCACACCATACCGGAGGGAAGTAATGAACGTAGGGTAAACTTCGTGAATAGATTTCCAAGGAGAGGTTGAGGTTGAGTGGTGAGCCAATTTGGAATCCCGACCATTACAATCTAGACCATGAATGCTTGCAATTACTTTGTGCCACAACTTGAAATCTCCACAACCATTTTCCCAACAAAGTAGTATTTCTATGAGCAATGTTTTCTAACCCTAGACCCCTTGCTCTTTTGGCTTACTAGCTTGTTCCCACTTGACTAAATGAACCTTTTTCCTCCCCTAGTTCCCATAAGAAATCCCTCATGAACTTTTCTAATTGTCTTGCTATCCTTGCCGAGATGCGAAAGGTGGAGAGGAAGTAAATGCGTAGATTTCTAGTGTGGCCCTAATCAAAGTGATTCTTCCCCCTAAGGATAAATAAGTTCTCTTCCAAGAGGCTAGTTTCTTTGAGAATCTCTCAACCACCGGCTTCCAAAATCCTTGTCCTCGGGTTCCCCCTCCAAAGGAAAGCCTAGGTAAGTAATAGGCCAGCTCCTAATCTCACAACCCAAGACCTCTGCAAAACTCAGAACTTGGGAAATCAGTACTGTAGACCACCCAGTGTTGTACCCCCACTACATAAGGAATTAAAGTATTAAACATTACATGTAGATTCTCACCCCAGGCTATATTTTTGTAAATTCATACTTAAATATTTTATTGCTTTGCTTATCAAGGAAATTCTGATATTTATTATTTTCCTTGGTTATCCCCCCTCCCCCCTCCATATGAGCATGAAACATTAGACAACAGTTTTTTATAAGTAATTAGACAAGAGTTTTTCAGTTATTAATTTAGCTTATTTGACAAATATATGTACTACAGGTCTAAACCTAAATGGAATCTCCTATTCCTCTTTGAGGTAGCAATATTAATGAGACAAATAGCTGTAAATTATCAATTCAACAATCATAGGACTTTACAATCACCTTTGAAATCATAAGAAACCAAAACTGGCAGATGAACCAAAAGTGGGAACATTACCATTTCGAAAGAAAGGTTGGCCAGTGGACTTCCTCTCAGCAAGATACGTTGAAAGCCGGATATCACCAAGTTCCACCATAGCAGTGCTACCAACTCCCACCAATAAAGCAGCTGAATGCACAAAAACTATTTAGTATACATTAATAGTGTTTGGCCAATCAGTAGAACATGATGTAATGTCACAAATTATTTTGGTAAGTGATGTAATGTCAAAATTTTAAGAAAAAACAAAACTAGTATCAGAACAACAATTCAAACAAGTATGCAGAGATGCAAGAAACTTGTGATGTACACCCCAGGTCTCTTATCTTTTTTTGATGAATAATAGTAATTTTATTAGTTTAAAAGCTGATTTAGAGTTGTGAATTCATACAACATCCCAGGGAGAGGCGTGAGCTGCAGCCCCTCCTTGAATCTTATGCTGTACCCCCAGCTGGTTTGCAAATTGTACCCCTTGTACAGCAGCTAATAGAACTGCCCTGATAGAGTCCCCAACTCCTAAAGGACCCGAGTAGAGCAACAGAATCTCTCCCTTCTCATTTCTCAAGACACCCCTCATTCCGGATAATCCTGGATTACCCATGCTACTTCCATCAAAGTTCAGCTTCAGTGAGCCTTTAGATGGAGGAGACCAACTTGTAATTGACTTATCCTTTAAGGGTGAACACCTTGCTATTGCTGACCAGTTTCTCCAAGAGTCATTAAAAGAGAATTGATGAAAGATTTCCAAAGTCTTCAGCCAAAGTGTTGCCCTATGAAACACACAGTCTTTCAATTCCTACCTGCTCCTTTCCTTTTCTTGAAAGGTTCTAGCATTCCTTTCATCCCAAAGAGTCCAAATCAGGGCAGTGCAAGCACATCTCCACAATTCTCCCTCTTTTTGTAGGCAAAGAGAAAGTAGAATGGTTAAAGATCATGCGAACTTCTGCAGGTATACTCCAACTACTCCCAAACAACGAAAGTAGCCAAGCCCAAAGGTCTGCAGAAAAAGGACAAGATATTAGTAGATGGTAACAATCCTCCTTGTGAGCTCTACAGAAGATACACCAATTGGGAGAAATACAGAGGAAAGGTCGTCTCTTTTGTAGGTTATCTAGAGTGTTTACTTTTCCATAGAATACTTCCCAACAAAATGCCATAATCTTTGGGGGAATGGGCCTACACCAAATTTCCTTTGACAGAAAAGGTTGTTGAGAAGAATGCTGAGAGATAGACTTGAAGTAAGAAGCACAAGTAAAGGTTCCTTTGGGTCTAGGAGTCCACACACTTTTATCTGGCTTGGAGGGATCCAAGCAAATCTGATTAAGGCAACATAACAAGTCAGAGAGAGATTCAATTTCAACATCCCTTAGTCCCCTATGAAACCCAAAATCCCAATTAAGAGCCAAGGGTGTTCCCAATGGTGAAACAAATTTTGAGACCACCTCTTTTTTATACAAAGAAACAGAAAATAGCAAAGGGAAAGTGTCCTTTAGGGGGGTGTCTCCTACCCAGAAACCCTCCCAAAAGCGAACAGTGTTGCCAGAACAAACTTCATACCTGATAAAATTGAGAAATTGAGGAAGGGTGTTGTGAATGGCCTTCCAAGGTGCTGCCAGGTTAGCTTGCCTTGATACACCTGCATCCCATCCAGTCTCTGATCTTCCATGAATGCTTCCCACCACCTCATGCCACAGCCTCTCACTTTCCAATGGCCATTGCCACAACCATTTCCATTTACCTAACAGATCTTGATTTTTTTCAATCACCCTCCCAAGTCCCAAACTCCCCTCTTCTTTACTTCTGCAAACAATTTCCCAACTAACCAAATGATCCTTTTTTTCTTGTCCCGACTCCCACAAGAAGTCTCTCATCAACTTCTCCAACTTCCTAGCTTCCCTAGCCGGTATCCTAAGACAGACAAAAAGTAAGTAGGTAAGTTAGCCAACGTAGCTCTTATTAAGGTAATTCTCCCTCCTAAAGAGATATACTTCTTCTTCCACGAGGCTAATCTCTTCTCAAACTTTTCTAGCACTGGGGTCCAAAATCTACTCTCCCTAGGGTTTGCCCCTAATGGAAGCCCTAAGTATAACATAGGCCAAGCAGAGATGGAACACTCAAGACACTCCGCAATAACCTCAATCTCCCCATCCTCCAAGTTTATACCTGCTACGCAACTCTTTTCCAGATTTTTTTTCAAATTAGAAATCCTTTCAAATCCTTTGATCAGCTCCTTTAGGTTTGCTACCTTCTCGCTAAAGCCTCCTTCACAAAAGATCATTAGGTCAGCTACAAACTGAAGGTGGGTGACTGGGATTTGGTGTCTCCCTGTTCTCCAACCCCTAATGGCATCTTCACTATCAGCCTTGGTAATGGTCCTACTAATCACATCGGCTACTAATGTAAAAAGGAAGGGTGAGAGTGGACCCCCTTGCCTGACATCCCTGCAAGCTGGAAAAAAGTCCCTCACCACACTATTTATTAGAATGGAGTAGTGATAGGTACTGATACACCCAGATATCCAACTACACCACTTGTCCCCAAATCCATAGCTTCTCATCACCTCTAATAAAAACTCTCAGTCCACCAAGTCATAGGCCTTTTCAAGATCCAATTTACAAATAAAACCACTTTACCTAGACCTTTTCATTTCCTCCACACACTCATTCGCAATTAGGATCTAATATGTTATTTGTCGCCCTTCAATGAAGGTCCCCTGAGTTTCACTAATGATAGAAGGAAGAACTGTTTTGATCCTCAAAGAAAGCACTTTATCCAGAATTTTATATATGCTTGTCACCAGACTAATAAGCCTATAATCTTTTGGGTGGTTGGCATCAATATTCTTAGGAATCAAGGCAAAAAAAGTGGCATTGATTCCAGGGATTATTATATGATTATCTGCAAATTCCTTAAAGACTTCAACTAAATCCTCTTTCAGCACCTCCCAGCAATCTTGATAAAAGCCAATTGTAAAACCATCTGGACCTAGAGCCTTGGATCTATCCCTTAGAAAGATAGCTTTCTTAATCTCTTCTTCCTCGAAATTCCTTTCCAACCACATTTCCATTCCGTCCTCAATTCTTGGCCATTCCATCCCTCCCGCGATTGCTTTATCACTCAAAGGTCTTCTATAGATTGATTTGAAGTGGTCCACAAATTTTCTGGCTATGTCATCCTGGTTGGTAATCACCTCCTATCCTATCTCTAGCTTGGTCACAAAATTCTTTCTTCGTCTCCCATTGGCCAAATCATGGAAAAATCTAGTGTTCCCATCGCATTCCTTAATTCACTTGTGTCTAGATTTTTGTCTCCAGCTAATTTCTTCCCTCAGTAACACTTCTTCCAAATCCTTTTTCAATTATCTCCTTAACACTTTGTCATCCTCGGTTAAACCATTTTGGGATTCCTTTACATCCAAGTTTTCTATTCAAGAGATTAGGCTCATTTTTTGCTCCTCAATTCTGCCAAATTGATCTCTATTCCACTCTTTTATTTTGGCTCTCAACCTCTTTAACTTCTTATGAAACTTGACCCCCTACACTTTTTTCACAAAATCTTGATGGGTAAGCCACATATTTTCAAATCTAAAAGGTTTGGGTCCAGTAGGAAAAGTCTTGGTGCCTATCTGGATAAGACAATGATCAGAGGTGACCCTAGGTAATGCTCTAGCAACCAAGTTTTCCCAACTATTCTCCCAGGCTAGGTTAAATAAAAATTTGTCCGACTTTGAACACAAAGGGGTTTCCTGAAGGTTGGACCAAGTAAAACTGGTTTGCAGCAATGGTATTTCCTTCAACTCACAATCTTCAATAAAACCATTAAATTTCCTTACTTCTTGTGATTACCTGTTGGGGATTATTGGTTTATTCAGAGAATCTAATGACATTAAAATCCCCACCCAGGCACCAAGGGCCATCCCATAACCCCTTGATTTCATATAATTCCTCCCACATCCCATTTCTCTCTATATAGGAGTTAAGGCCATAAACGTTGGTTAGAACCCATACACACCCATCTTCTACATTCTTAAACTTAATGGAAACGGAGAATCTGTCTATCAATTCTTCCACATCCTCCCTCCACAGTGTTACAATCACCCTGAGGCTCCCTAGGAAGGAGATGAAGTCCAACCTACACCTCTAGACCTCCAGAAACTCCTAACCCATCTCCCATCTAATTCCATCAGTTTGGATTCTTGTAAAAGCACAATGTCGGGTTTTTCCCTTTGGAGTAGATCTTTGATCACCCTTCTCTTTCTTGCACTCCCTAGACCTCTTACATTCCAGTTGATAATTTTCGTCGAGACAAAAATAGCAAAACACCCACGAAGAAGCCTTAGTCTCCTTATCTTAGACCCTTCCTCCTCTCCCCTCTACCACTAAATTCTAAATGAGAGCATAGAAGCATAAGGCTACGTTTGGTTGCAATGCAAATGCAAATATGTACACTACATATTTACCCATTTTTCGGTTCTTGAATGCAAACACGGTTCACATTTTAAACCATTTTTGCATTCATCTTGTTTGTTTGAAATTGGTGCAAAAAGTGTTGGCCCATCATTAAATGCCCCAACTATCTTATGCTCCAGTGCATTAACTTTGGTCAAAAAGTTAATTATCAAAAGAACACAAAAATGTATCCAAAAAATAGGTACAGTAATGCTCTCTTCTTAGAGTACAAAAGTGTCAGAAAATACAATTTTGCTCTGATAATCATTACTTTTTTACGTTTCAAACAAACGCTCGCAAACGCGAATCGGGGTACATAAATACCCCGGTTTGGCATTTGTATCGCAAACAAACGGAGCCTAAGAAACAAAACAGCCAACAGAATGGAGCAAGAATTAACCAATTGTAAAAACCACCAGCACAACATCGATACAAGCACCAAAGCAGACAAACAGGGGCCATTAGTTGATGTATTGGTAAAATATTGGGCTGTCAAGTGTGATAACACAGGTTCAAGGCTGAGAGCGGCCACTTTGTGTGTGTGTGTGTGTGTGTGTGTGTGTTAAAGGTTAGGACTGTATCTGGGGTCTTGGGAGAAGAAATCAAGAATCTTCATATTCTTGAACCATTAACAACTTTGTAATTTTAATTATTTGAAGATTGATTTTTAGTTTGTTGATGTTTTAGGAGTAGAGTTAAGTTTCACTTTTCTAGAAATTAACTATTCTTAGTAAGATCAAAACTACTATCTATGATAACTTTCAAGTTTACTGTTTATAGTAATTTTCGTAATTACTATTTATAGAAAAATTGTCATTTGCCATTTTTAGTAATTTCTGGTGTCTTTACAATAAGTTAGTTTTAGTAGGGTTAGTAATTGGTATTCAGAGTTACTTTAGCAGTTAGAATCATCAATCATTATTTCAGTGTCCTCATACATTACCTACTGGGTTGCCTTGCTGAAATTGGCCTATGTAAAGGGAGAGCAGAGCATTTATGCTTGGTTTATATTTGAAATTTAAGAGTTGAATGAAAAGTTTCTTTTGAAGTTACTTGTGGATAAGAGTGTTATCTTCTC